ATGTGAACAAATATTTGGCAACTTGACTGCAATATCGACCATTAACTGACATTTCAAAAATTTGTTTTAATTCTCGAATTAGCGATAGAGAGTTTCGAAGTTTCATAGAGAACTCCCGTGCTTTGGAAATTTCTTTACTAATTAATTTAATTCCCTCTTCAACGATAATATTAAGAATGTGTGCACCACAATGAAAATGTTGTAGATGTTGATTATTAAACTCATTATACATTTTATCTTTAAGAACACGCCCCATCGCAATCATATTTGAGGCGTTGTCTGTCGTGATTCCTAAGTTTATGGCCAATGGTCATTTCTTTTAGAAGTTCAATGATTGCATCACTTTGGTTTATGGCCATATGGGTTTGATTAAATGGAATAATATCTAATAAGATTCGATGTATTTTCCATTCAGGATCTATCCAGTGCGCTGTTATGCCAATATAGGGTTGTTGATTATACGATGTCCAACCGTCCATTGTAATTGAGATTTTAGATGAAATTGCATTTAAAAAAAGATTAATTTTATTTTTATTTTTAACATACTCTTGGCTAACCCAAGCTGAGAGTGTTTGGTGGCATGGGAGTCTGTAACAAGGATCAAGTTCTTGTAAAAAATTATTAAATTCTATATTTTTGGCTAATAAAAATAATTGTTGATCAACAACCACCCATCTTAAAAGTTTATTATTTAAAATGTCGACCTTATATTTTTCGTTTGGACTATAAGGGTCAAGTCGTCAAAATCTACATTGTTTGATTTTGGTAAATTCTGAAGGGTGAAAATTTTGGAAATGTCAGTTAATGGTCGATATTGCAGTCAAGTTGCCAAATATTTGTTCACATAATTTACATCTTTTACCTCCATCAGAGGTTGGTAAAAGGTAATCCCGGACAGGTGCTCGGTTATGTGCATTTTTGTGATTCATTTGTATTGTCTAGAGACAAGGGTGCGAATTCATCGCTTGTAGAGATTTCTTCACTGAAAGTTTCTATAGATTCGAATTCGAATTGATTTGTTTCAATAATTGATTCAAATTCGTTTGTTTTTTCCATTTATTTTTTGTTTGTTTTTTTTTTTTTTTTTAGAAAGGAATGGCAAGCTTTAAATAACTTTTACAAACACATTACTTTGTTAAAATATACAGCTTTTGTTCACTGAGAAAATATCATTATCAACAATTCTTCTGTAAAAATGGTTAGTTTTTTTAAATCATACTGACTTTGTTCTATCAAACGTGTTGTTTTTTTATGATAAATGAGATACTACTTTTACTATTAGCAAAAAACTTTCTATCATTGTTACTATCAAAACGGAATATTTTACTTTAAAACAAACGCTGATGAATAGTATATTGCCTTTATTATTGATTAAATTTTTGTTAATTTTAATACAAAGATAGTCAACAAGTGTAAGCATATTCGATTGTTTAATATTCAAAGCCGGAGATGGTAAACAAGTGTAAGTATTCTTTGATTGTTTAAGACTAAATGACTTAACTTTGATAAGCTTAACTCACCTTTATTATATATTCAAAGATGGAGATGGATAACTTTTTTAAGGGGTTCACCTTTCCTTTAGCAAAGGAGGTGGTACCTTCTTTAAGGTGTTTTGTCATTGGTAAGGGAGATGGTGCCTTTATCGCTCCTAAAAAGTATGTATTAGAGTGTCCAGGGGACTGCGGTGCATAAATCTGTAAGGGAGATGGTGCCTTTATCGCTTCTAAAAAGTATGTATTAGAGTGTTCAGGGGACTGCGGTGCATAAATCTGCTCAATCTAAAAATATTTTTGTTTATTGTCTTCGTAAATCATTTTTTAAAATCAAATACAATACAAAAAAATATTTTTAGAGTGAGCAGATTTATGCACCGCAGTTCCCTAGACACTCTAGTATGTATGAGTGATACTTCTTTGGTCGTTGAATACTTAATAAATTAACTTTTATAAGTTTACTCACGTCTAATTATATATTTGAATTCAGAGATGGTTCTCAATCTGAAATTCAATCTATCAAGAATTCAATTACTATTACTTGATTAGATGATAAATGAAAATCTATTCACTATCGTTACATGCTCTACCTCCTATGACCAAATGTTAAATCTCCAAGGAAAGCAATGTTATTTGAACTAACCGAATATAAACCCACTCTTAAAGTATTGAAATTACTAATGCCTAAATATACGAAAACAAGTCGTCAAGAAGAGATGCATGTAGTTTCAAAAAGAATCGATTATGATAAAGATACTAAGTCCAACAAAGAATATTCCATTAATAATGAAATCTTCTTCATACAAACTAAAATACTGCTTTTTCGGCTAAAGAGTTAGTTAAATCATACCTGTTATTATTCTTTAACTCTTAGTCATATATTGAATTGGAATCCAAATTACTTCTATATTAAAGGCATACGCCTTTAAAAAAAAAAAAAAAACACCTGCCCACGGCAAGTGTTCTTTCTTGCTAAAAGTCTCTTCTGACGTCTAGCGAAAGCGGGTCCTAGGATTTATAAAAGGGACCGGGTCCCAGGATCTGTGTCATAATGATCTATCATGTGATTTAGGGATCGAATCCTTACCGATCCTTGAAAGGATCGGTCAGGATCGGTCAGGACCCGATCCCAAGGGACTGATTAACATCCCTATATCAACTAGTCAAAATTGATTATTCGTCACCACACCTATCTCAAGATCTTTATACCCTTCACTTTAGCCAATCAGAGCGCCTGCTGAAAGTTGTCCCTTATATATATGATGATGATTCGTGATTCTGTGATATCGTGACCTTGTATCACATTCCAATTGGTTAATTTCGATCACGAAACCCAGCTGCGGTACCTACGAAGAGAAGAATTTACAGTATTAGCGAAGGTGTTAAAGAAGTAAAGTACTTAATAAGAAAATAAGAGAACACCACGCCTCGATCGTTGCCTTACCAATATTAGGGTTTGGTTAAAGTAGTTTTAGTGTTCTAAATAGAGCATTTAGTTAGTATTGATATATGAGTAGAGTAAAAATCGACCCTCCAATTTTTTCGACGCAGTTTACAATTTCTCAGCACACATAATTTCTTTCTCGAATAAGCCATACACTCGTTTGGGTGCCGGTCAAAATCCCGACAAGCACAATCCCGACAGGTCATAATCCCGACAAAAAAATCCCGACAGTCAAAAATCCCGACAATTAAAAATCTTGACAATCGGGTAGAAATCCCAAATATGGGATATGTTTAAAGTGAAGTAGACTCTTATAATTTAATTAACTTTAGGGTTAGATCACTTTAGATGAGCGTTAGGCTTGGGTTAGCTATAGTTTATGATATTTTTTTTATCAAAATTTTTAATTGTCGGGATGTCGGGATTTTTGCTGTCGGGATTTTTTTGTCAGGATTATGACCTGTCGGATTTCGCTTGTCGGATTTTGACCCAAACCATAATAAAAAACTCCTATTTATCTTAAAATTTGACCCTAACCCTAAGTAAAACTATATAGGTGTTATATAACACGGTGTTATGAATATAATTTCCTATTTATAATAATTATAAACAAATTTGAAAAAAAATGGTTTATTAACAAATAATATAATTCATACGCTCTCAATATAAAAATATTTTTAATATTGTTATTTATAAAAAATCTTCAAAAATTAAATTATTTCAATATCAATAATATGGATCTCTACATGATTTAAGCTATTTATTAATCCTAAAATTTTCAACCTCTGAAATGATTTCTCTCATATCGATAAGTTTAGAAGTATACATCATATTATCATGTTTTTGCGAGGTAATTGGAAATTCATTGATTGATTTATCGGCTTTTAAAAATTGCTGTTTGATCTCTTTATCTGAATCATCTGAATCAATACTTTGTTTGTCTAATATAACATTATTATTAACAACTATACTTTTTTTCCATTCTTTAAGTTTATCAAAAACCCCAACAGCCTTAGATCTTATTTTCATTTTTGATTTAACATTACTATCATTGGCGGCTATAATGCTTTTCCATTTTTCAAGTTTATCAATAATCTCAACAGCTGTAGGTCTTTTTTTCACGTCTGAATTAATACATTGTTTTGCTAATTTAACATAACATTTTGGTGTCTTTATAAAAAATTCGGGTCGTAATCCATGACAAATCATTGCCGCTAATTCCGCATCAAAATTGTAACCATCGAAAGGTCTTCTTCCAGTTAATATTTCTATCATAATAATTCCAAAACTGTAAATATCAGCAGCTTGAGTGAACTGTTCTCCGTTCAATACCTCAGGTGCTAAATATGGCAAAACACCACAAATTTGACCATCCTGTTTTTCATTAATCGATATTGATGAACCTAAATCAATATAAGATTCATATTGTTCTTTTAATAAAATATTGCCAGGATGTAAATTTCGATGTATAAATTTTTCAGAATGAATATTTGATAGATCGTTAATAATATCACATAATATTTTTAATTTAATTTTCCATTCCAATTTAAATATATCTTTAAGATTTTCACGTAATGACCCGAATTTTGCGTAATTTAACACTAAAATAAAATCACCGGTATTTTTATCCATAGATATGCCATGATATTTACCAAATTCGTGATGCGCCTTTAACTAAACAATAAAAAAAAATTATATACAATTAATTTATAAAAATACAATTTATGCATAAAAATAAATAAATTACCTCGTTTAAAAATAGGCTATTATTTTTATGCGAATCTTTTATTATCTTGATTGTAACCTCTTCATATGTTTCATACGATGTTTTATACACTATAGAAAATCCACCTTTGCCTATTTCTTCAATATTTCTAAAATTATCGTATTCTATCCAATGGAAATATTTATGGCGATTACATTTACGTTGAGTAACAGCAGATTTTAAATACCATTCATAAGCTAAATCTTTATTTATATCTACACCTATCCCTTTCTGATAATACCAACCAACACAATACATTCCACAACAATATCCGTATTCGGCACTTTTTAAATAATATTCAAATGCTCTTTGTTTGTCATTTTCAACTCCAATTCCGTATTCATAACAATATCCAACACTATATGCTCCACAAGCGCATCCCATCTCTGCAGATTTTTGATAGTAAATGAATGCTTTACATTCATCCTTTTCAACTCCAATTCCATATTGATAACAATATCCAATATTGCATATCGCACTAGCGTTCCCAATCTCTGCAGATTTTTGGTAATAAATGAATGCCTTACATTCATCCTTTTCAACTCCAATTCCATAACGATAACAACCTCCAACACTTTTTATTCCACAAGCGTCTCCCATCTCTGCAGATTTTTGGTAATAAATGAATGCCTTATGTTTATCTTTTTTAACATATTTGCCAACCTCATAATAAAATGCAAGAATGAGCTGAGCTCTAGGATCGAATTGATTATCTAAGCAATATTTGATAATCTTATCTGGATTTTGTTCTTTTTTTACTATAAATTGTTCTAAGACGTCAATAATTGAAGATGAAATTTTGCCTTTCGAACGTTCTTCATTATGCAGATCATACATTTCTTTAATAATTTCATTAAGAAAATCCTGTGACTTATTTTCTAAATGTAGTTGGTTAACTTTGTTGGATATTTTAGCAACATCTAATGAATTGTTAATTTTTTCTGGTCGTTTGGCAATTGACATTTTGACACAATGAATGAATATATTACATATGTGCATATCAAATTTATTGAGTTCATTACAGTATGTATTGCGTAGCGTAACGCAATTACGTGCACATGTACCCTAGCTCCGATTTGGTGTAACATAACACTAGGTTCGTGAATCGTACCTGGTACTACGTATCAATTTTATTTTTGAATAAGACCCCAGATTATTGCTCCGATCGGGTCAACCCGAACAACCCGAAACCAACCCGATAATAATAGATTTACTATATGGGTCATG